CGGATTTTCAGTGTAGCTCATTGCCTGTTTTTCAGAATCCAAACCCTGAAAAGGAAAACCCACCTTGTAATGCTCAAGAATTAGAAGAATGTGATGCTTTTCTTGAAGATGGAGCAAGTTTGTGCAGATTTGATGGTGATACCTTGAAAGTCACTCATGTAGTAAGTACTGCAAATTGTTACAGAAATGCTTCAAAACAATTTTTATATGCAAGTTGAACTTTATTGTTACAAAAATCTGAAAACTCTTGAAACCACATAAAATCCATAATATCAAATCACAGTAGCAACAGAAATTGTCAACCCATATGTATTCTTCAATGTAATTTTAATATAAAACCAAGTCTCCCTGTGTTCTAATTTTAAATATATATATACTTTCACAAGTAAGCCATTTGAAATAGCAAACTATCATCAGATTTATATAAGAGAAGGGTCTTTTTCAGTGGCATAAAACTCTTTAGGTTCCTTAGTTTGCATTTTTAGCTAATTTTTCAGATAGCCTGCTAGAAAGTCAACCCTTTTTACTAAGGAACTGGAGCATAGATCACTTTAGGGTACTTCTTTGTCAATCACACTGGAAATAATGGATTGTAGGCCAAATGCTTCTGTAGAAGGCTTGATCTGGGTTGTAAACAACCTTGATTAACAGTAAGTTATGACTTGATTTGGTCCATTGGCTAGAGTGGGAAACAGCAAAATCATATTAAAACATTACAGATTAACACATGATCTTGGGGTTGTTCGATTTTTTTTTTTTTTTTTCCAAGATGTTTCCACTAAGCTTGTAATAAACAATGGTGTTACACCTCATCATTATCTCACGTCACACAAAGTACACATAGGATAACCTGTTGTGTACAGAAAATATCCTAGTTACAGGTTAAGATTTGAATCAGTTCATAATTTTGCATTTCCTCCAAAAAAAGTTCAAGAAGTCTGAAGTCTGTATTTTACCAATCTTGGGGTATTTTTGCTGACTTTTTTTCTTTTAATTTCTCTGTCTTTTTTTATTTGGCAGTACAGATACATATATAAATGTGTGTCTGTCTGTATGTATGTGTGTATACATATATATGCCTGTAGATGCATCTGTGCTGCCAGAGTATAAAAGGTTAAAGTCTGTCATGCTGCACCAAGACAGTGGTCTGTTTTGTGGATACAGTGTGACAGACAGACATCTGTCAGAAGATAAAATATGTTATTGGTAGGACTTATTCCAAATGGATTTTAGCTGTTCAGTGATGCACAAGAGACAACAGGCATAAGTAGAAGCAAGAGGTTCAAACTGGGTGAAAGGGAAAACCTTTACACCATTGTTGTAGCATGGATTGTCTTGCCTAGTGAGTTTTTCCAGACCGGACTGGCTGAAGTTCTGAATAACTTGGCACAAACTCCAGCTTCTCACACTGAAGGGTAAGAAGTTTATACCTCAGAGACGTTTCCTGTATCAGGAGGAACGTGAGATCATGGGATCAAGAAAGGCTGCTGTCTAGTAGGCAGCAGGACATTGTGGAACAAGTCTGAACTCCAGGGTGTTTGTAAGAGCTCTTAAAATGGGTGGCATAAAAGTAATGCAAAGGTTGATGTGTTTAAAGCATTATGGGGAAAGGATGGTTACTGTGGGTAGGAAGTTTTTGTTTCAGCCTCATCTATGTGAGCTTGTGGTTTTGGTCCTTGTTGGAATTCATAGGAACATAAGTATTTTTCACCATACAGGAATATATTTTCACTTTGATTATGTTCTTTCAAGTTGTTTGGGGTTTTTTGGTTAGCATTTTGGAGGTCTGCTCCTTCAGAACTGTCTCATACAGCTTTTCACCCACAACTCCCACAACCATGTTTGACGAAGCGTGTGCTAACCTGAAATGTAGTGGTTATTTGGTTGTGAGTAAATTAAAAATGTTGACATTTCATAATTTTCATATTCTAACTAATCCTTGGTTCAGGACTTACCAGCTTTTACTGCTGAGGGACAGTATTTTCTACTCTGTTGGCACTGCAGGAAATCACCAGATGTGATTAATTAGAATCTTTTCCTAACATCAGAAGTTGTAGGTTAGGATCCGCTATCCTAGAAAACCATTCCTGCACAAAACACATTCCCATTTGCCTGTGTAGTGGATGTAACATTTCTCTAAATATTTTCCCAAGGAAAATATTTCTGTTTGGAATGTGTTAGGTACCTGTGGTGTTGATCAGTGCAATGCAGCATAATGTATTCAAACATTTTGTCAACTAACAAACATAAAGCTGTTGATCATCTAACTTTGGCAGTATGTGTAACATAATCTGCTATTTATGCCTTGAATCAATATTTTGTATTTGTTTTGTTTTCAGATTAATCTTGGAAGTAACCAGTATCTTTTCTCAGTTGTTGTGAATCCCAGAGAAATGCCATGCTTCTGCCTGAGGCATGATGTTGATGCTCTTCTCTGGCAGCCTCACTCTGACCAACCAGAGAACATGTGGGAACACATTGCGACCTTTAATGCTTTAGGTAGGGGATTTAACATCTGTGTTACACACCTTTTTCTGAAACTTTTCTGTCTGAATAGAAGGGCTTCTGCTGAGACTCACTTATTTAGATCTGAATTGAAAGGTATTATAATTCTGTTGATAGCAGCATGGTAGCTTAATTTTAGAAATAAGTGGACATGGAAATAAAATATTTATGCCTTCAGAGGAAAATGAGCCTTTTCAGATCATGTGCAGGATACAAGCGCAGTACTACATAAGTGAACTTGAGTTAGAAACTGAGAAGTACAATCACCACCTTAACAGACACACAGAAATCATCAGGGAAATAGCTGCAGTTCCCTGATGATAAGTGTAGGTGTAGCTATGCTTATGGTAAGATGTTTTAGTAAGTGACATTAAGATTTTTCCTGTCTCATAGTCCCATGTGATAACCATTGCCATGCATTGTTCAATAGAAGTGAAGCAAATAACCTTTGAGAAAGATGGTAAATCACTTTGCAGAGATCGTGTCTCAAGTATCTACAAAAGCGGGAAAGGAAAACAGTCCGAAATAAGTCTGTTTGCTAATAGAATTTTGTAATGAAAGAGGAAAAGGAAGGGGTCTTTCCTTCTGAGTGCATTTTACAGTGTGTTGAAAAGGACCTCATGGGTTTTTTCACTCAGTTCTAAATAGAAGATAAGTTTTAGGTGTCTGTTGAAGATTAGATAGGCTCAGAAACCTTGATTTTTTAAATGTAATTATATACTGGGAGATGAGAATTATTCTGCTTAGACTGCTAATAATGTGCTAAGATGTGTATCTGTGCCTTATGATCCTGCTGAGAAAATGCAAGACCTTGTGAGAGGAGCTAGAGTGGGAAGAGTATCTAGCCTGTACATAGGTGTGTATCAAAAATGCCAGTTAAGATGGTGTACAGGAGAATTGTATATTGGTATTAAGGTGGTTAATGCATACCTTCAGAAACTATTGGATTATGCAATAACAAGATATATATTTTTTGACACTAACTGAATATTGTTTTTTAAGCTAAGCTCGGTTTTGTGTTAGCCAGTTGAAGTGCTGTTGAAACCAATATATTACTTATCCCTTCTACTTGTCTTTTGGCTATGCAGGTTATGTCCAAGCATCAAAGCAAGACAAGAAGTTCATGGCTTGTGCTCCAGATTACTCGTATGCTGCTCTCTGTGAGTGCTTGCGACGAGTTTTCATCTACCGTCAGCCGACTCCGCTGGCCACAGTTCTCTACAACAGGAAGGAAGGAAGACAAGTAGGGCAGGTTGCTAAGCAGCTAGTAGCAACCTTGGAAGCCAATGATCCTATCTTAGGCTTTCAAGCTACAAGTGAGAGATTATTTGTTCTCACAACAAAAACCTTGTTTTTAATAAAGGTGAACTCTGGAAATTAATTATTCAGTATTATGCTGTAGTTTGTGTTAACAATTTGTTATAGAACTGGATAGGTTCAGTACATTTTGCTGAAGTTTAAAATGGGGATGTTTTACAGGGGAATCAACATTTTTCATTACATTTTTTCTGTAAATTAGTGGGAAAGTTTTTCGACTTTGCTGCCACTGAAGTAAGCTTTTTCAGAGCTATGGAAAAATGTCTTCTGCATTGACAGCCTTGTCAAGGCAATTGTCAGAGGCTGCTATTGCATAGGTGAAGAGATTTATGCATTGTTTTTTCCAAATGACCTTGTTTGCCATACTTTTGAGTTTTGAGAATTCACTTCTGTTTTGAAGTGCCACTGTTTACTTATGAAAGAAGTAGTCAGATAAAGAGTTACAGTCATATGATGTGCAAAATACAACATATCATAAAGAAAAAAACATTCCAAATTCCAATACTGTTGACCAAAAAAACCTGATTTGATACTTTGACATTCAGTTGTAATGACTGAAATGTTACTGAAATTAGAGTAATATGTTTCTTATCCAGGTAATTAAGTGGAGCACTTTCATTGTATATGTACATGTTAGATTGTTGGTTTGGGACTTAGTCAAACTTGCAGGGAAAGTTGTTACATTTTAAGAGACACTAGAATAGCTTTAGTAGGTTTTTCCAGAAGCAAAGTAAGGGTCAGCGTATAGCAGGTGATTGCTTATTGAATGGTATTAACCAAGGTCTAGTTATACTCCCTGTTGTGCCATTTTCATTTGACTTTGTACTTCCCCTCAAATGACTAATATACAATGAGAAAATGGCTGACAGAAAAAGCACTAGTATTGCAGCCTGGAATGGGAAACTTGGAAGTGCTGCTTCTGCCTCAGATACCATTGTAAATGCTGTGTTATTACTTAACCATTCTGTCTGTGATGCACTAGTCCAAACATGGTATATTTGCAATGTGAGAGTACTCAGGCCAATGAGGATGCTCTGGTTTACCAAACTGATGTGGTTCATGGAGTTGAGTAGTTGTACCTGAAGATTTTTGTTTATTTTTAAATGGCATTGTCAATGCAGTTAGACCAAAGGGTCAGTTGTGACAGCTCCACCCTGGGTTGAGTGTTTTCATAGTTGGCTTACAGCTCCATGGCAAAGAATGGCTAATACATTGTGCACTGGCAGGAAAGCTGCTGTCAACTGTGGTACCAGAGTACTGAGAGAGACACAAATACAAGTGGCCTTTGGGTTTGCATCTCTCTCTTCCAATATTATTTCAGAACTTTGTAAGAATCTGTTGAGGGGAAAATTAAGTGTTTCTTTATGTGTGATTGTTTTTGGCTCTCCTGTAAATTCTCCAGATTTGTATTGATGAACTGATTAAATAATATGTGAGAATTTAAGAGGGAGACAAGCAGTTGTGGCTTGCAAAAAAACCTCCAAATGCAGGAGCTTTTCAAGGAACCTGATTTTCCTCCTCCTTACAACTGTATTATATTGTATATCCAATATTGAAAAGTTATTCCTTACTCTTACCTGGGTAAATCAAAACAAATGTGATTTGCAAACTTTCTCTTCTCATTCTGTTCTTTTAAAACTGTCTTGAAAATGCTTTTTGAAAAGATTCAGTGAATGTATTACAGTTTCATGACTGTTTTGCATCTAAATTTTTATTGTTGGGCAATAATGTTAAACTAGGTGGTAGAATTCCTGCAAAGGTCCTATAGAAAAGATTTCATGTAGCTTACTACTTTTCAGCATTTATTAACTGCTTTTAGATGTCTATGAATATTACTTATTAACCTGAGATTTAATATTTGGGAACAGAGAGTTAAGAACATGTGATAGTTGAGGAATGAAGGAGTGAAGGATTCATAGGCAACATGCTTTTGTCACCTCGGGTCTATTGCAGGAAGCTTCGATATAGAATTTCAGCTGTTCTTTGTCAGATTCTTCTTGCTGTGTGTTAGCTGTCTGGAAACGTGCTTCTCCTGTCTCCTGCAACAGAGGAAACGAAGTCAAGTAAAATGGTTACCTCTTTGGGGGCTGAATTATAGTATGTAGTAACTAAAACTCACATTGTGCCCAAACATGTGTCTGTTCAAGAGAGTTTCTTCTTCTGGGAAAAAATGAACATAGGGAAAAGGTTCATCCCTTTTTCCATGTTACTCATCTGTTTGCAACCATGGTGTTCTCAGAAAGGATGTGTCAAATAGTCTCTTACTTTGCTTTCTATGAGAGTTAAGGATATTTTATTATTTAAAAGATTTGTTGCCTTGAGGAACCTGGCATGCTGCTGCACAGCAAGCTACTATGCACCTAGGTCAGGGCAATCCCAAGCACCAAAGCAGGCTGGACAGAGAATGGATTGAGAGCAGGCCCAGAGGCAGGATTTGGGGGTGTTGGTGGATGAGAGGCTGGATATGACCCAGCAGTGTGTAACTGCAGCCCAAAAGGCCACCTGGTTTGTGGGCTACATCGTAGGTGGGCATCAGGTCAAGGGAGGCAATTCTGTCTCTTGACTCTGCACTCATGAGACCTCACCTGGAGTGGGGACTTGACCAGCTCTGGAGACCCCAACATAAGAAAGACACGGACTTGCTGGAACAAGTCCAGAGGGAGGGACACAACAATGACCAGAGCGCTGGAGCACCTCCCCTATGAGGACAGGCTGTTCAGCCTGGAGAAGGATCCAGGGAGTCCTTAGAGCACTTTCCAGTACCTGAAATGGGCCTACAAGAGAGATGGAGAGGGATTTTTCACAAGGACATGTAGTGAGACAGCAAGGGGTGATGGCTTTAAACAGAGTAGATTTAGATTAGATATTGAAAGAAATTCTTTACTGTGAGAGTGGTGAGACACTGTTGCCCAGAGGTTGCCCAGAGAAACTGTGGATTGCCCCATCCCTGGAAGTGTTCCACAGTAGGCTTGATGAGGCTTTGAACAACCTGGTCTAGTGGAACGTGTCCCGGCCTGTGGCACAGGGGTTGGAACTAGATGATCTTGAAGGTCCCTTCCAACCCAAACGGTTCTATGATTCTATGAGAATAAAATGACTGCAGCCACCAGGAGGTACTCCCTATCAGCATTTCCATTTTGTGTTCATTTAATTTTAAGTCTTATTTATTCTGCATATCTTATGTAGGCTTATAGAAAGTATAGAATGTGGAGATTTAAAAGAGATGGTTTTCTGAGAACCATGCTTCATCTTTTCTAGGATTTTATTTCTTGAAATCTTACAGTACTTCCCAAGAGGTCCCAATCACAGTCTGTTTACAGGATTTCTGAGAAAGTATTTGGCTATTACAGACTTGCATTATTTTTTTTTTAGCATTCTTTTTCAGTGTTTTCCTTGGCTGCGTGTCTGGAATGCATCATGTATTCTTCTACAAGTTTAAATAAATGGAAAAAAATGTTAAATTTATTAATAAAGAGTTTTAAATATTATTTTAAAGATTTATGTTAATTTCAAATGTGCATCCTTCCTATGCTGCTGAAATAAAATAGAAAAATAGAAATAAGGAATTCCTTAAAATAAGATTCAAGGAGCTTTTTGTTTGGGCTAAGTTCTACCGGGTGCCTGTGCTGCAAGGCCATGGCTGTTGCCTAGATGTGCACTACCTCACTCCTCATCATCTCTGTGAAATTCCCTGTACAGTCTTGTTAATGTTCCATATCTGCCAACATATGAATTTATGGAGGTAGTTACTGGAGGGGGTTGATAAGTATTCAGTTGCATTCTTGTGCTGAAGTGCACATTGCATCCTCTTATCCTGTGTCTTTGTTGTGTACAAGACCTAAATGATCTGGGCAAAGCCTTCTAGATGGAAGAAGGAGAGATCTCCAATTCCTTCCTCTCCCCTGTACCTCAACCCAGGGATGCTTTTTTGCAGAACAGTGAAGGAGAATAAGGATTTGGTCTTTATGTATGTCCTGTGTCAGAAAGTGGCTCTTAATGAAACAGCAAGCCCTGTGAGAGTAGCAGGTAAGGTTGAGGCTTATGTTTTATTTCACCTTGATCTGCTTTGTTTCAATAATGGAACACTAGATCTTATTAATTTCCTTTCCTTCTGTCAATTTATACTTTCTATTCTCATTATTCAGATTAGATGAACTTGAAGCCTGCAGTCAGTCACACATTCGCATGTAATAACTATTTTGGTTTAAAATTCTGTGCTGCCAGTCCTATGTACCATTTGTAACAGCTTCTGGAAATCTTGTATGATTTGTTTCCTCTTCTCCCCATGCAGGACATTTTCATTCGTGCTATGGATGAAGATCAGCAAGGTCAAAAGGCGACTTAACTGCAGTCTTTGAGATAGAAACCAAGCCTTGTGGTCAAAACTATTGCAGTAATTTCAGACTCCGGTTTAGTCTGTTTTGCTTGGAAAAGTATTTACTGGAATAATTTTTTTTCCTTTAAAAGATGTTTGAGCTGCTTCTGAAAAAAATGTGGATTTTTTTCACGAAGATACTTAGCACAAAGTGGTCACTGGGTATCAATTAAAGTATATGATAGATTTAGTTAGCAGTTTCAGATGCAGACCTGGAAAATACTTGTCATAATCTTTACTGAGATAATGCTCTAGGCAAAATACCCTTTATAAACCATTCCAGTGGGGATTTGCAATCTGCTTGGCCCTTGCAAGGAATCGTCAAGAGCAACACAGGAAAGTAAATTTTTAAAAATCCTTTTAGACTGTCACTTTTATTGTGCTATGATGAATATATGTATATCTACTAGTGTAATCTACTAATGCATTTCTTAATGTATTGGTTACGTTCTGAATGTGCAAGAGTTGTGTGTGTGTGTATGTTTGTATTTTCATCTACATCTGTATACACACACTCAGGTACATATTTATACTGCCTCAAAGTACTGGGGAGGGGAGTGTGGCTTCTGGAGAGAAGACTCTTAACATCACTGACAGCAAAGCACAGATCCTTTATTAACCTGTTTGTGAGTCTGTCTGTTGTGAAACTTAAGTAAAAATACTTTGGTGTATGCTAAAACATTGATCTATACTTGGAATAAGTTCTTGAAGAAATGCTGATTATTAATTCAAAAGCACTTGGAATTTGCATTGCAATGGTTTTGATTTATCTCTTTTACTGTTTTTAAGTTT